CCCTCATCATAGAATACATCTTTTTTTAGCACATTTGTACATTTATTGCCCTCATCATTTTCAAAACATTTGTTTACTACTTGAGCCCTCGGTATCAGCTCCTCATTTTCCCCTCCCTCCCCACCTCCCCTCTCTCATGAACCCTTGATAATTTATAAATTATTATTATTTTGTCATGTCTTATGCTGTCCGACGTCTCCCTTCACCCACTTTTCTGGACCCAACTCTTAATATTGTCAATAACTATAAAGCTTATCTTGGGTTTCTAGGAATTGTCCCACCTCTGTGACTCATTGAAGACTCTTCTGGCCTGGAAAGGAGACTCACCATGGAGGAAAGGATGAAGAGGACAGATAAGTCCGTATATACTCGAGTACAAGCCGACCCAAATATCAGCTGAGGCACCTAATTTTACCACAAAAACTGCATTTAAAATGTGTTCAAAAACTCGACTTATACTCGAGTATATACAGTAGGTGGGGAAGAGAGTGAGGGGTCTCTGGTGCTGACACTACCCTTCCCTGTAGCCCAATGAGAAACAGAGCATAGATTAACAATGGCCCAACTAACTCATTGAGACTTGCCTCAGGGGTACTAATAGCCTTTACTGGCTCCCCAAAGGAATTCTCATTCTGAAGGCTAGAACTCATCATGAATATATTAGCATCTTACCACTTTCCGTTTTTTCATATAAGGATCTTCTGGGCACTTTATGGGTGAGTTTAATCTCACACCTATTTTCTTCAAAAAGTTTTTTGTGAATGTATCACAGTCATAAATCTTGAATGTGCGGCCATAAAACACGACATCTGTGTTGATATTGAAATGATACACAGTATAAAACTGATCATCATCAGGAGGTGGGAGACAAATCCTATGACGCCGGATAGAAGTCCCTATGGTATGAAACAGAATAAAGTTATTTTATCACTAAGCTAAGAAGGAAGAGACTACCACATATCTCCTACACAATTCTAAATTCTCTCTTCCCAGTCTTAGAATCAACTTTACTGTCTACAGTCAAACTAAAAGGTAACCAGAGGGAGCATGGGTGTTGAGAGTACTGTGTATTGCTGGCTGTTTACATGATAATCAGGAAGCTCTGGGGGTTGGGGTGGTGAAGGAGATAAGCAGTGTGACCCAATGAGCCTAGCCCTGCTATTAGGTCTTTTCCCAGAACAAGCATGCTTGCCTATTTTGAGCCACCAGCGCTCAATGTGACCTAAGCTCTCAAAGCAGATTCGTCATAAAAATGTATAATCTAAGCCATAGGTTCAAAATGTATAATCTAAGCCATGGGTTCCCAAACACATTTGGCTATCAGTCCCATTGCAGGTAAAAACAAAACAAAAAACCCCTCAGCATCTTGGTGTCAATTAAAAACCTGAGTCCTCTAGCCCATTATCCAGGATACAGTATAAGTATTTGTTTTCGCAGCCCTCTGGGGTAGTTTTAGCCCTCTCCTAGGAATGGTGTCACCCACTTTGGAAAACACTGCTTTACATGCTTTAAAAGTTTATGTTTCAGTATGGTAGGTTCCAACTCTGTGATTAACAGCTTTTAATAAGCATGAATGATTTCAGGCTGCTCTGAAACCTCATGGAATCTTCTTTCCTCTACCAACTTCTTCCTCTTTCTCACTCCATTGGAAGGAGACACATAGAAACCCTATATAGGGATTATCAGGCTTTATAAATCTCTACAAGGACAGATGCTTTTTGGGAGGGGGGTTATGTATTTTTCCCATTTTATTAGGGGCTCATACAACT